GAGGTGCTCCTACATTCCCCATGGCCACGGGAGTGGTGGAGGCTGACAGTAAATGATCACTGGCAAGCAGTGAGAGATATCATCCAAAACGCTGTCGTTGACAACATACCGCAATCACACCCAAAACGCCAGAACACAAGAACCTGGGTTGTGCGCGGCGCGGAACGCTTGCTACAGGCGAAGATGAAAGCCTGGCACAAGTGAAAGGTCTCCTTGAAGGATTCCGATCGCAGTTCTTACTTGGCATTGAGCAACAGATGCAATACCAAAGTTCGAAGCGACAGGAGACAATTCCAGACGAAACTAGCCGCCAGAATAGAGGCAAACCAGAAACATCTGTTTCGGTTCATGTCCAAAAGAAAACCAACTAATCAAGGGTTGTGTCCCCTAAAAGGGCCTAACGGAGAAGACCTCACCAACCTAGAGATGGTCGAGATCTTCAACACACATTTTTCTGATCAATTAAACCAGGCGCCTACATGTTCAGAGTATTACGCCAACCCAATGCCAGCTGACGGCTTAGGGAACATCCGTATCACTCCTGACCTAATATTAAGGAAACTAAAATCCTTACGCCCAGGTAAGTCACCAGGTTGTGACAAAATCCGCCCTATAGTCTTGCAACAGTGTGTTGAAGTCCTCTGTTCACCGTTATGTAACCTGTTCAGGCATTCACTCGAGTCACACTAATTCCCTGCTCAATGGAAACAAGCTACTTTCTCTCCAATCTTCAAAGGAGGAGATAGAAAGGACCCAGCCTGTTACAGACCAGTAGTACTACTACCTATATTATCAAAGGTTATGGAAGGACTAGTGGACGAACAATGAGGGAGTACATGGATAAGAATAAAATACTCCATGAAGCTCAACACGGACCTTACATCCATTGAGAAATGGGCAGTGAAAAACGGTTTAAAACTCAACCAACCGAAGTGCCACGTCATGCATTTCCTCATATGACGCAAACCACCTAGAACTCAATGGAAGTCCGCTCCCTAATGTCTCCTCAGAGCGTGATCTTGGTTTAATAACCACAGAAAGCCTCCACACGAGTCCTAACTATATAGAGGACGCAGCCAAGGCAAACGCAACTCTTCACTTTATGCGAAGACAACTTCGTGCTATCACCTCACACTTATTCTTAACAGTATTTAAGACGTACGCGCGCCCACACCTGGAGGTTTATAACGTTATTGCACCCCCTCTGCTTAAAAGAGACATAAATCTCCTGGGTCGAGTGCAGAGACGAGTGGGTGGTAGGGTTGAAAAATAAACCTTACGACGATAGACTACAGCTCTTTGAATTATTTCCACTGAGTTACAGGAGAATCAGAGGTGATCTGATTATGGCGTACACCATATAAAACACGCCAAACCATCCCAATGTGAGCATCTTACCGATGCATCACCACCACTTCCCTCCAGACAATCCTCGAAAGATTGCACATCAAAGAGCAAACACTCAGATTCGTGCACACTTTTTCTCATTGCGAGTCGTCGCAACTTGGAATGCTCTGCCACTCGAGGTAGTTACAGCCCCCTCAGTGGACTGCTTTAAGAAGAGACTTAATAATCACGTACTCACATACGGACTATCATCTCCCTCTTGGACAAGCTGTGCCTGATGCATATCTTGAGATCTGCTAGTTGTTACCATTGCCATCTCCTCAGATCACTCAATTAATCTATCTCGCCTATTCCTCTCCCTTGCTTACACTTCGGTCCTCTCTCACAATCTTCACTACCAATTAATAAACTAAATTCATCTATATATTACTCAGTTCTGAAATTTTACTCATATTATCATTTTAATTTATCCTTATTACCCTTATTACTCTCCACATTGCAACTAACTGATCTCCGATTTGGTAATGTGACGGCTGCTAGTATCTAGAAACCCTACTGCCCTGAAACAAACGTTTCATTCAAATCCCGAGACATACAAACTCACAACCAACTGCCGAATGACTAGAATGAGACAGTCGAGTGGCCAGACTTTCATCCATTGGACATTACCGAACACCTGGAACCGTACCGAAAGAACAAGAATCGAGAGAAAAGAAATCAAGTGGTTTACACTAGCTCGTGAAAAAGATATTGGATATTGGAACATTGGACAGAACTGGAAAGGGAAGCCCAGGACAGAGTTGGTTGAAGAAAACTGGTGGGCGGCCTATGCTCCATTGGGGGTAACAGGCGTAAGTAAGTAAGTAAGTAACAAACAAAAGGAATAGAATACAATACTGTGTTATCTTCGTGAAAGTATACCACCACATGTCACTCTTAATTGAAACAGTAAACAATCTTTTGATATCAACCAGCCTTATTGGAAAACTGGAGAACAAAGTAGGTCGAAGTAAATAATGGCCTTAGAATTAAGTCGATGACAAGTAGTAGAGGGAGATATACAATGTACTGACGGCCTTGAGTGGATCAATCAGAATTAGAGTGGCTCCTTACGTATGGTGCGCAACAATTTAAAGTGAGTAGTTGCAACGCCTTCGGAACATAACTCTATCAACTCCTAGTTTCGTTTATCAGTTTGTCTTAATCTCGCGCTGGCTTTCTTTCTGGTTGCTGTCTATTCATTCGTATATTGCATGTAATTGCATTCTATGTGCTTACTGAGTCGTCGGCTCATCTTTTTCTCTTATTCTTTCTTCCAAATAATCTCACACACTGCTCTTCACATCCCCCCTAGCACACAAGGTACCTCCTGACTAGACGCTAATTAACCAAAGGCCGAAGTTACATAGTGAGTTATTATCTATGAAGTAGAAATCGACAACACATGGTCCTTGAAATGCTTGAAATCAACGGACACTTGTCATAAAGCCGAAAGGTTCATTTCAGATTGTGATTAAGCTAAATTTACAAGCGTGTATGTTACCGACTTAGATCGTATGATCATTATCATACTCTGAAGTATTTGATATGATTCAATACGTTGTCGGTGTGTTTAGTGAAGTTAGATTATATTTTACAATTTCAACTCCCACTCTAAATATCAATTATAGGTCTCCTAAGTTGGTAAACAGTAGAGTGACTAAGCATTGTACCATAGCTGATGTTGGTTTTTGATGAAAACCCTTACCGTAATGTGAAGAATTCGACTCAGAACTCCAGCGTAACTTTTAATATCTAATGTCAAGTCTTTTGCATTGTGACTGACCCCACTTGGTGAGGAAAATTCCGTAATATATGACACTAGCCTGACCATTAATGGGTGAACTTGGCCTTTGCCTTCCACTACAATGAATAATCTGAGATATGAAGGTGAATTGTTCCACTACCTGTTTGGGGTCCGCGAGATGATAATAATCGACGGTTAAATACCCTAAATGACATGGCTGAAAACCGTTCGCAATGGCGCCGGTGCATTTATTCTTTGTGTTCTCTCAAATCCTAATCTTCTGGATTCGTCAACACCTCTAGATTTGACTTTCTAAACTTTTTTCACTGAATCATACTTGTTGAATAATATCTTCTAATCCTAACCTCTCCGATTACTTCTAATACATTTACTACCTCTTCTACTATTTGGTTTGAGCTCATCTTGGAAGTTATTCCTTCCTTAATTTTTCCCTTGTATCTTTTCTTAGCGGTTTCCTCTTTTAGTAGGTTTAATGAGCTTTAAGAATTGCCGTTACTTATTTTGAACTTGTCGAGCCTGGAAACATCCCAAACAAAGGCTATTATTAAATTTTTAGTTCTTATTTTGGCAAGTGCTCTATTATATTCCGACTTGGCTTGTACACCGCTAAGTGTTAATTTGATTTTATATCGTCCCCTCTTTCTTTCAGACGTGTTTGCTTGATGTCTTGAATGTTTACTTGTACATATGTGGTTGATTCGGTTTTGTATAGTGGTCTGGAAAAACGCACGCAGCTTTATATATATTATCACAGATGACGATGTTGTTTAAAGCCAGTAGATTTACTAATCCCTCTTCATTCTCGTTACTTTCTCCCGTTTCATGTCGGCCCATGTCACCATCTTCCCTGATGTTCGACTTTTTGACCTTAGCGTTCAGGTTCCTGATCAGGATAAACAGTAGCTTTCCATTAAATTGATCTTTACTATCTCCGCTTCTATCATTGATGGACACGTAGGACTGAGTGAAATTCATTATAATCCATGCATTTATTGAACAATGCTTTGATGATCTTGGAGCCATAGGTCTATCGTCTTTTATTTGCTTTCCTTGTTTATTTAGAAAGCATCAGTACAACACGTTATGTTTGTGGGACATTCTTCATTATAAGAGTGCACTAACATTGTCCAATGGGTTTCACTTACTGCAAGCTGAGCCAGATTGTATTTCCTCATTTCCACCACTATTTGAATAATTCTCATGGTCTCCCACATTTTCCGAACTCATTTACCTTTGTTAATTTGTACCCTGGTTTTCAGAAGAGGCATTGGCTTTAAGACTCCTAAGATGTCTCTTTCATCTGAAGTGCCTTCGATTCCCAGGATAAAATTTAGGTGGTTACCTCAATTTCATTGGTCAGCGCTTTTCAGAAAGCTTTTGCTACTGATAGGATTGCTAACACCACATCCAGAGTAGGAACCAGCAATAGCTCTAGAATGGCTCAAAAGTGAGTTCAATTGAGAGCATAATCCGTAGAAAAGTGACTTAAAACGTTTTAATATTTACAGTCTGTCAATCAAATGCAGTGTAGAACTTATCAGGTATCTATCGGTCAAAGTTACCGTACTCCATTAGCACGGTGAGACTAAATTATCATGGCCAATTGCGGAGCTGTACGAATAGTAACAGTATTAGTGGAATATTAAAATAAGTTGGGCATCCAAAATGCAATTCGTGGAAATATAATTTAGTGAAATAATAAAAAAATTATTAGGAATTTATAAACTCGCATTAAATAATGCTGTTCATAGGTTTTTAGTCGTCTTTTTTTTTTGATACGGTTATCGTATAGCTGGTTAAATCAGACACATTTTACAATAATTTTGAAAAGACAATCTACAGCATAATGCCTAAAAAGAAAACTGGACAAAGAAAAAAGGCTGAAAAAGCCAAGCTAAGACAAAAGTTACTTCGGAAACAAGCCCTAGAAATTGATCTCATCAACCATCCGTCTAACATATTGATGGTATGTCTGTATTTTGTTCTAGCTTATCAATATATAGGAGTGTAACCAGTGTGGGAAGCGTCAGAAAAACCGTGCTTTTTGTTACTTTTGTCAGTCTATCCAAAGACTTCCAGTATGTTGTCATTGTGGTAAACAGAAGTGTTCTGCACGTTCTGGAGATTGTCTAGTTAAACATGGCTCTGCACATGTTACTGGACTCAGTATGGTGGTAAGTGTATTCATGCTGATTATTTTTACTATACTTATTATGTATGCGAAAGTGAAACTATTGATCTGTGTTTCGAAGGGTCATCTTTCGACTAGTGGATCATAGATTCGAATAAAGCTCCAGATACTGCCTGAGCCATTAAAACAGTGTCTCTACCCTTTATACAACGTGCCTCAAAAATTACTACCTAAAATTGTTGCATCCAGGTAGCTGAGAAATTTATAAACTTCCAATTATCATCCTTTCTTAATTTTGGCCAACTAACCTACAGTTGTAATTGAAATCCCTTTTACATGTACAACCTTAGTGTACGATATTGTGGCTTCTTGTAAGTTATAACTAAACTATCATGTAAGATTTCTACACTGTTTTTATAAGTACCTGTATAAGCAAATAATGGTTTTGATCTACTTAGCTGTAATAACATTTCTATATTGAATAAATAATACAAAGCCGTAATCATTACATAACTTGATGAAAGACTGCTAAGAATACATTGTTTCTTTGTAAACATAACATTAAAGTTATTAATTAGTTCTGTTTAATATTGTACAACTCGGTCATCATATTTCTGCTTATTATCTATGGTATTATGAAGAGTTTTGGACTTTGTATTGAATCATAAAGCAGGAATAAGTAAATTAAAATGGCTTGTGGTCCTTTTTTCATTCGAAATGGTGTACTAAGCCTATTTTAAGATTACTTGACATTAATGAAAGGAAACCTGGAATGACTATTATCCTTTCTTATGGAAACGTTTGGGTCACTCTTGTCATAACCTATCCGTAAGTGCTTGACATGACGTGTTATAATACTATAAACCTATTTAAGCTTCAAATAGTGTATTTTTATATCCTTTGCTAATTAGCAGCAGCGTCTAAGAAATAACTAGCTCGTTAAGTGTTCCACGTGCGTTTGTCCGGCGAACCTTTGGCACTATCTGGTCTTACTGGCAATGGTGTCGCATTAAGGGTTAGAGCTGAGGTAGCACTAATCGATTGGATCCCAACTGACAGTCGATTATGTGCTGTTAGATTTAAAAGCCCTATCAAAGGGAAAAGAAATCGATATGAAATATGATGCCTTTGCGTTATTTCCATATACGCCTTAACAGATTGCAGCCCGGGTGTAATGAAGTATGAGTTCTAACACCATATAAGTAAGCTTCTGAAGTTTGTTCAAGAAATAATATGGTACTAGCCGGAGAGATTAATGCACTGGTTGGCCATCTAGGCATAGAGGAGAGTTGTCTGTGTGGTCAATGAGGACTTTTTGGTCGCAAGTCAGATAACGACAATTATCTACTGCAACTGTTAATAGACTAAAACTTATTTCTGGCTACCACGAACTGTCGACACAGTTATCGCCGAGGTGCTACCTGGCTTCCTCTCTCTGTATCTAAAACCTGAATTCAGATCGATCACATCGCGATCAGCTACCACTTACTGGGACTTAAAGCAAGAAGTCTGGTGTTATTGAAACAATCTGTGAACTTGAGGGGACACCGATCAGTAACATCTACCGATGTGTTGGACGGCAGACCTTGTTTTTCGAGAAATACCTCAGTTAATCTGCCTCCGGGAATATCATTTATACTGTCCTGTCTTCCACGGCCGGTGAAGATTGACTTCTCAAACGAAGCGAAATTCATCAAGGAACTTCAGTTTTTGAAACGCCACCAATGACCAGGACTAGATGGCTTCTCTCCGACCCTGGTTGCAACCTTCCGACAATAAGGCTGATCGGTCTGTTCACAACATGTTGTGAATTAGAGTATCCAAACATCGTGGAACGATTAAATAGTTGTCCCTATAATTAAAAAAGGTTTACGTCACTTCGCAACGACCATCGAGGGGCCAATTGTGTCCCAATCATTGGCTTCTGTCCTAGCTCGCATTGTTCAAAGCCGGAAGAAGAATGACTCGTCAGAAACAGGCTAGTTTTCGTTCTGTTCAAGAATGTATTGTCAGTCAGTCAGTCAGTTGCAACGTAGAACTTCGTACGTATGTACATAAGTTCATGTTGCCATACCACATTATTAGCACAGAGACGCAAATGTCAAATCAAATCCCATAGTGATAAAGATAGTAGAGGTATTAATGTTAATAAAGAAGACTAGAGTTCGAAGATATTATTCAAAAAATATAATTCAGTGAGATAAGATTATAAAGACAAAGGCAGAGGTATTGACGAATCCAGAAGATTAGGATTTGAGAGAGCTCAAAGAGTGGATGCACCTGCGCCATTGCAAACGATTTTGAGCCATGTCGTTCAAGGTCTCTAACCATTGATGACTTTCGTCTCGCGGACCCCAACCAGGTAGTCTACATCTACCAACATGACTCAGTCCACTTGTCAGTGACTTCATGGATTTGTGCCATGTTTTGGTCTGGCCGCCCCTAGATTTCTTCCAACCTACTCCAACACCACAAAACATAGCTCGTCGGGGCAGTCGGTGGTTAGGCATACGTAACACATGTCCCAACCACCTCAACTGATGAAGTTTCAGCACTTCATCGATTGATCTGCCATCCTTACCTAGTACTCGTTTCCTAACGACAGCATTGTTTACTCGGTTGTCCCACGATATACGAGCAATGCTTCTTACACATCTATGATCGAATGCTAGTAACCTACGAACATCTTCTACTCTTAACGGCCATGTTTCACAGCCATATAAGAGAACGGAACGAACTGCTGTGCAGTACACCCGTCCTTTGGTCGGCGAACGGATATCTCGCCTACGCCATAAGTGACGCAGAGTGGCAAAAGCCAATCGAGCTTTCTGTATCCGAGCTGAGATTTCGTCAGTCACCAGGCTATCAGCGCTGATGAGACTCCCAAGATAAGTGAAGTGATCAACACGCTCGACTACTTCACTCCCTATCACTAGTTCAGGTGCCGATGAAACCCAGTCTTGAAGCAACATTTTGCATTTCGAGGGGGAAAACCGCATACCGAACATGCTCGCATTGTTGCTTATGGTAGTCAGAAGACTCTGCATTTTGTCAGCGTCTTCACCGAATAGAACTATGTCATCGGCATATTCTAGATCAGTAAGTGACTTTCCTGGTAGAAGGTCAACCCCTGAAAAATCTGACGAGCTTAATGTTAACTCTAAGAGGATGTCTACGACAAAGTTAAACAAGAATGGAGAGAGTGGACATCCCTGACGGACACCACTTGATGTAGAGAATTCAGATGACAGTTCGCCATATGCTCTCACCCGACCAGTGGTGTTCGAGTAGAGAGCTTGTATAAGGTTAATGTACTTCTTTGGTACACCTTTCAATGACAGACACTGCCACAGAACCTCACGATCCACTGAGTCGAATGCCGCCTTAAGGTCCAGGAACACGACTAACGTCGGACGTCTAAATGTGTGTCTGTGTTCCAGGACCTGTCGTAGTGTGAAGATGTGGTCTATACAACCACGTCCAGGTCGAAAACCAGCCTGGTTTTCTCGAGTCTGCTCTTCACGAGCTCTAGTTAGACGTCTAAGTATAATCGAGGCTAACAATTTAGAAACTATATTAGTTAAACTTATTCCCCTGTGATTGTCACAAGAGGACTTCTGTCCTTTCTTGTAGATTCGGACAGTCAGTGATTGAGACCAGTCGGATGGGATTGCGTTCATTTCCCAGATTCTACCTAGGATCTCGGTCAGTCTAACCGTTAAAATTGGACCACCATCCTTAAACATCTCAGGGGTAAGCCTATCGGGACCTGCCGCTCTACCTCTCCTTAGATTTCCTATAGCTTTCTCAACTTCATGTAAACTGGGAGGACTTAAATCGATTTGCCATTCAGGATGACTGGAGATCGTGGGCAACCGAAGTGTGGCTGAAGGCCAGTTGAACTGATCCCTAAAGTGTTCTGCCCATCGGTCCAGCCTCCTAGATTGAGAATGGATAATAAGACCATCCTTTTCTGAGATAGTCTCACTCACATTCGGGTTCCTAATACCGGTTTCTTTAATAAGGTGGAAAAGTTGTCTAGTGTTGCCTATCGCCGCTGCCTTTTCCATCGCTTTTGCTTTCGCCACCCACCACTGTCCACGGTCGTAACGTAGGCTTTTTATAAGTCTGCACCTAAGCTGACTACGCTCTTCATCATGTTCAGAGTCAGGTGGGATGCGTTTTCGAGCATCCATCAGTTCGGTGGATGCGACTGATATCCACGGCTTCATCTTAGCCTTGTGGTTTACCTTGCTAGCAGATACCATTGCTGTTTCCACAGCCTTCTTGATATGATTCCAACCTGCTTCAAGATGGGAATCACTTGCATGGCCGCCTAACTGTTTTTCTAGTTCCTCCTGAAATATTTTCTTAGCTTGATTATCATCAAGTGAAGCCCTAAGAGGCTTGCTTACGGTGTCTTTCCTACGTCCAGCAAGCCTCAAACAAATACGTGCTCGCACTAGGGCATGATCTGAATCTAAACATGTACCCCAGAACGAGCGACAGTCCTCTATCGAACCCCTCCATCGGTGGCTGATGGCGATATGATCTAGTTGAGTCCAACGTTGAGACGACTTCGGGGGTCGCCAGGTCAAAAGGTATTTTTCTTTATGCTTAAAATTAGTGTTTGCTAGAAAGAGTTGGTTATCTGAGCACAGTTGCAACAGACGGTCGCCATTGTCTGTTCTTTGAGTCGCGAGACCGTAACATCCACCTAGGTGTCTTTCCTTGTCACTTAGTCTACCTACTTGTGCATTGAAGTCACCAGCCATTATAACTATATCAGAGCGCTTAACTTTTTGGAGGAGGTCCGAAAGCTTTCTGTAAAACTCATCTTTTACATCATCTGGGCTGCAGTCAGTGGGGGCGTAGGCTGATATGACGAAGAGGCAACGGCGAGTGTCCCTATCTTTCCGAGTCCTTACTGTCCCGTTCAGTTGGACGGCGCACAAGCGACTATCTACAGGGATCCAGTCAAGGAGAGATTGTTCTGCCCTACGACTCAATGCTATACCTACACCGGCGAGGCCCCTAGAAGCAGCATCAGGGCTACCGGATACACCAAGGGTAAATCGAGCTGCTTCTTTATCTTGACATGGTGAGGTCAAATGAGTGATGCTACTCGGATCCTGTATGCGCGTTTCCGAGACGCAGCATACATCGATGGAACGATATTCTAAAGTCCTAGCTAATGATGCCTGTTGCCCTATTTGACACAATGTCCGTACATTGAATGCTCCAACATGTAGTTTAGAACGGGGTTTCAAGAGACCAGGAACGACGTTTCGCGGACTCATATCGTCTTCATTAGCTGTGCACTGTGATGAATGAATGTGAGAAGAGTTAGTCGTGGAGATAAGAGAGGTACTAGGGAATGTAGGAAGGATTTGATTTTGAACAATTTGGTCTCGTGTGCTGTTACGGGTATGAGGGCGGTTATCACTTCCCGGCTGCCCACACCGTGGAAGGTCAAGAATGTATTGACCTTATTTTCACCCTTCGTCAAATTTTAGCACACCGCCATACTTATCGCAAGCCGACAGTTGTGTTTCTTGACCATGTCCATCGATCGCAAAACACATAATTGAGACGGGGCATATGACTGATATCAAGACAGCCTTCAAACATGGTATAGAAACGTTGAAGGACGAATCTTGAGGTTAATGGAGGCCTTGGTTATTCGTAAATTAAAGCCCCCCTTATTTGTACACAAACAATTTGTTATAACCTTGAGTTTACCCTGGTAATCTTTAAGCCATTTTATGGCCTAGGGTAATGTTACAACTTCCTAGCTTCTTATTGTCTCTTTATTACTTAAATTTCCTCTCTCCTTCATTTACAATTATTACCTTAAGTTTATTTAATTGACCTTTTAATAATATTCAGATAAAATGCCTTGACAAGTGTGTGACCAGATTGTTCGAAATGTATGGCGCAAATACATCACATTTTTCAAACAGACAGATACAACGCAGAACTTCGTACGTAAGTACATCAGTTCAAGTTGCCATACCACAACAGCACAGAGACGCAACTGTCAGTTCAAATCCAGGAGTGATAGCGATAGTAGAAGTATTAACAGTGATGCAGAAGATTAGGGAGCAAAGATATGATTCGAGAAGTATAATTCAGTGAGATAAATTTAGAAGGAGAAAGATAGAGATTATGAGGAATTCAGAAGGTTAGAGTTTTAAAGAACACAAAGAGTGGATGCACCTGCGCCACTGCAAACGATTCCGAGCCATGTCGTTCAAGGTGTCTAACCATTGGTGACCTTCGTTTCGCGGACCCCAACCACGTAGACTACATCACATTTTTCAGATCAATTACTTCTCACTGTTCCATCAAAATTTATAAGAGGGACCAATTGCTATAACTGAGATAACTTTTTAGTCATAGTAGGACCTATTGATGCTTCCTTACGATTCCTGGGGAACGAAATTATATTTACCTTCACGACTATGAACAGAGAAATATAGATTAAAGTAATCGTTTCTGACTAGCCCCATGTAGCGCCGTCAATATCTAGAAGTTCCAGGGATTTTTTTTCATCTAGTTTGGCAACTGACTATTACTTAAATACTGTTCATTATAAAATTACAGGATTTGTTTGCTGACTTCGGACATACAGCACTGAACTATTCGTCAATTAACGTTTCATTTCTTTATCCACTTGATATTCAAGGGAGCGATTTGCGACTTTTGTGATGCTTGGATATGCCACGGAGAAAAGTGTTTATCTGTACATGCATGTGAATGTCCATTGAGAGACGCTGTCTGTGTTGAATGTGAGCGTGGATTAGACAATTTTGGTGGTCGAGTATTTTCTTGCGCCTATTGTAATCATAAGCTTTGTGAGGATGACCAATTTGAGCATCAGGTATGTTATTTTAAAATCCGTGTCAGGATAACACTGGTAGTAGTCGGTTGTGGTTCCTTATAGTACATGCTGGATTTCATTTATTTCAGCTGGGTGTTAAATGGTGGTTTTAAGTGTAGCAGGACTAACACTGAAAACGTCCTTATACATATAGTCATTTGCTCTCTGTTTAAGACATGAATATGTCAAGTCGGCAAGATAACTATTTCCAATAGTTGGAGATGTTAAGAGATATGTTCCAAAACTTGTCATTAATGAATATGCCTTCAACATTTATCTTCCTTTACGTCATACTATTTTAGGCATGTAGTATGCTTGTTCGGGTTGAATTATCAATTACATTTCTTTTATTTTCTTACTGATTTCCTGTAGTTTGATGAGGTGAAATGTAGGTCCTTAAACCTGAATTTGTGTTTAAGATACGACGCAAAATGAATGCACAAAGAACTGCACACTTTGACAAAGTTTAGTACTAATATGAAACTGAAATATTTGAAGTATCAATGAAAAACACTTCCCACACTGACTTAGTTCTGATTAGCGAGTAAAAGAATTCGTTGTTATACGCCAGATTTTATGTTTATCCATATTTAATCATCTCGTAATATTTTAGGCAAGTTGTCAACGTTTGGAAGCTGAGAGCTTTAAGTGTGCTTCATGCAACAAAATGGGAACACAAACATGTCTTCGGTGTAAAGTGACATATTGTGACGATCATTGCAAGAGAAAGGGTGTCAAGTATGAACGTGGAAAGCCTATTCCTTGTCCGAAATGCGGACACGATTTAACAGATAGCTATAATTTGAGCGTATCAGGTAAGTTATGCTAAGATGTGTGGAAAACTAGACCGTTTATTTTTTTGAAAATTCGAATATAATGTACAGTAATCGCGAGTGCGTATGTAGTGCATTAGGAAATGTAAGTTCCCTGAATCTGAAAAACTGACAGAATAATAACGCAGTTGGTTTTCTGATAGTCAATTTTCATGGACTAAACATTTCGAAATGTCACCATCCAAAACGTGTTCGAACTAAGAGCGCATTACCAATCATGTTGCCATTTATTTATACCTATGCTTACTGTGATGGAATATAATGATTAAGCTCCAATGGTGACAATATATCACAGTGACCAGGTGAAATGTATTTTGTAGTTATAGAATGACTACCAGTAAGGTAGTAATTACGCGATAATTCGTATCTTTTTAAAATTAATATGTTTAGACAATGTTTCACTTTCATTTGTACTAATTTGCACACTACACACAATTTAGGGGTTACTGCCAAGTGTCTAAAACACAAGGCGTATTTTGTCTGATATGAAGTTGGAAATTTGATAGTAATCTCAGTATTTCGAGTCGTCTTCTGTAAATAATGAGGCTTATGACTTTAATTATATATTACTGATGGTCTGCCAAATAAACATCTTATATCATTCAGTATAAATCCAAAGCAACTGCATCATTGGCAAACATGTTACTGTTTTAAAGTGACTAAGTACAGGGCTTAAGCACAATATTATCAACGAAAAAAACTATGATATATAATAACCATACTTTTAAGTTATACTCTTATCAATTCAGAAATTCCTTAATTTGTTTGTCTGCTTTAGTTCGCAGCTACGTGTATGGTCGCCAGGCATGTGCAGAAAACTACTTAGATGAAGACAGTGAGAGCGAAAATGATGAAGAATCTTCTGAAAAATCAGAAAGTGAATGTGATAACGATGATTATAATTTATTAGATAAATTAACCCTTGAAAATTAAAAAGTAATTCAGTTAAATCAAAGTTTGCTAATTAGATAAATTGGAGCTTGTTTATCTGTTCAAAGTTGTCTCGGTTACTGGGGATAATCATTCCGTAACGTAGGGCTCTACGTAATTTCCAGGGAACAATCCAGTTATACCATTCATGATTCCTTCCCACCAGCCGTCATCATTTTTCTTTACTACATATATTATTTGGTTTTCTGTAAATGTTAGTTCATCATCTTTATCGCGTACGTACTCGTACATTGTTTTCACTGTATAAAAAAAAGAGCGAATTGAGTTGCTAAGATACCGTTTGAATATTATATGTTGAAACGATCATCAATAAATAGACGACTTAAATCACTAATACCATTACATCAGAAGTATATATATGAATCATTTTGAAAATAATGAAGACTCATTTAACAAATACACATAAGTTGTGTCAAATGTAATGCTTTCAAGTTTGAAGTCTTTTTGTGAAATTTCTACTGATGCCAAATAAAATCTCTTATATCAGTGAAATAAGTTATCACGATAAGTACCAAATCAAAATTATCGGTGGCAGTGAATACCAGACATAAACTGTATGATTGGAAGAAAAATATTGAGTTGCCGGGATATAAAGTATAAAATAATCTTCAACCTCTAGATATAAGGAAAGAGAGATCACCAACTTTCCCAACATTACAATTCATTTTGACCCATGTCGCTTAACCACTGTTCGCGGTTATTAATCCGACTCCTAACCAGATAGTCTGCATCTAACTTTCTTAAGCTTGTTACTCCGAATGAAGCATGTGCTGCTGACTAGCATTCTCCAACCTACCCTATCCTGGGCCTTCCTTTCCAGTTCCAATCAACTGTTGTTCATTCTTTTCATGTCTGCATCCAATTCTCGGCCTAATGTGTTCTTTAGTCTACCTCTTTTCCTTTGGCGTTGAGGATCTGAAGTTAGGGCTCACCTCGTGACGCGGTTGGGTGCTGTCCGCAATGTGTGTCCTATCCACTTCCAGCGGTTTTTCCTAATTTCTTCCTCCGATGGAATTTGCTCTGTTTCCTCTCAGTAGGTTTTTACTGATGGTGTTTAGCAAACGGAGCCTTAGTATCTTGTGTAGACAACTGTTAATAAACACCTGTATCTTTTGAATGATGGTTTTCATAGTTCTTCAAGTTTCCGCTCAAGTCAATAGAGCTGTCTTGACATTTGTATAACTTTGGTGTTGGTTGATAATTGTTTTGAGTTACAGATGTTCTTCAATTGTAGAAATATTGAAACCTACTGCCGTTGAGGCTGCTGCTACACCGGTTATCTTCTCTTGCATTTGTTGTTGCGCGTGGAATAGAAGGTCTAGATCACCCAGGTCGTCCAGCTGTATCCGACCTGTCCACTGTATCCCGTGCTGACACTGAGATATTGATGTCTTCTTAATCTAGTTCACCTCCAGGAGAAAAAAGGGTGAGAGTAAGCAACCTTGCTTGACACCGGCCTCTACTTCAAACCAGTCTGTGAGCTGTCCTCCATGCACGACTTTGCAGTGTAATTCATCACAATAATCCCGTACGATGTTGACCATCTTCTCAGGTACTCCATACAGTAGAAACCCTAATCTTTCCAAATACTGCCCGTACTCTTACTACCACTATGGGATCTGAATCGACAATTGCATCCACGTGCTACCGTGGTATGGCAACTCGAACTGATGTACGTACGTACAGTTCTACGTTGTAGCTGACTGACATAGAGTGGAAGATGTTCCAATGATCTATCCACGCTGTAAAATGTTTCCTCAAAGTCAAGGAAGTTGACGTACAGGGATGAGTTCATTCAAATGACTGTTCAAAAATAACCTGTACTGTCGCGATTTGGCCAGTACACGACTGACCCTTACGGTATCCAGCCTGTCAATCTGGAAGTTGGACATATACTGGGATCTTTCATCCTTTTCAACAACACTCTGTTAAAGACTTTTCCTGGTATCGAGAGTAGTGTGATGTCTCTGTAGTTTTAACGCTAGTTGAAATCTTTTCTTTGGTAACCTGATGAAGTGTCCTTCGCTCCAGTCTGTTGGTGCTTGTCCACCCTCCCAAATATTGCTAGAGTGTGGGACACATTTGCAGTTAACTCTATTTGTGTTTTCAGTGCCTCAGTTGAAATGTTGGTTAATCCTGCTGCTTCGCCATTCTTGATTTCTCTGATGGCCAAGCTGTTCTCTTCAATTGTTGGGGAGCCAACATTGATTGGGAGGTCTTTTGGTGCTAATTCGATTTTAGGTGGGTTAATTTGGGCTGACCGATTTAAGAGTTCCTCAGAGTGCTCGACTCACCTTTTTCGCTGTTCTTCAATGCTTCTGATTACTTTGCCGTCCTCGCTTTTCACTGGTCGTTCTGGTTTACCATAATTTCCAGCGAGCTTCTTTGTTGTATCGTACAATTGTCTTAAGTTTCCTTCCTTTGCAGCCTTTTTCGCCGTCATCGCTAGATCTTCCACATCTTTTTCTAGTTCATTGACTTTGATGATCTTCTTCACTTGCTCGTATGCTTGTGTGTTCAGCTTATGTCTTGGCTTTCTCTGCTTATGTTCGGCTGATATTGATTGCTGCCTTCTTGTTCCTCCTTTATTGAGAAGTATCCAGTGTTTCAACGTTGATCCATTCCCCGTGGTCGTGCTTCTTGTGGCGTAGAATCTCCTGACATGTTGAAGTGATTGCCTCATTGATCTCTTCCCAGTTATTCTCCAGCGTAGTTTCCTCTCCATTGAGTATATCATGAAAGGCCTGGAACCTACTGTTGAGGGCTACTTTGAATTCATTGAGTTTACCAGTATCCTGAAGAAACAATCGGTTAAGATTCCGCTCAGTTGTCCAGTGCCTCTTGAGTTTTAATTTCATCTTCACCTCTATCAAGTGATAATCTGAAGCTATATCGGCTCCTCTCTTGGTTCTCACGTCTTCCATCGTCCGTCTGAACTTTGTATTGATGCAGATATGGTCGATTTGGTTCTGTGTAGTGTGATCCAGTGGAACCCATGTGGCTTTGTGTATGTATTTACGTATGAATACAGTACCGCCTATGATCAGTTTATTAAGGGCACATAGGTTTGCTAATCTCTCACCGTTCTCGTTCCTTTCTTCCAGTCCACGTGGTTCCATGATGTCTTCATATCTAGTGTTGCCCATTTTTCACCTTGGCGTTTAGGTCTTGACCAGGATGGAACACTTAGTCTTCACAAGGAGACCTAATAATCTAGAGAATGAAATTAGGTATATTTGTACATGCCATTTTAGCAACCACGAAGTCGATATTTGAGATGTCCAAATAGTCCGGTAAGGTAGTTAAAGTGTTCTGTATAATTCTACTTTCTTATGCATTCAGTAGAAAGGAAAGCTTGATTATTTATCCAATGTGAACTTTTTTACAAGCGAAACCATTTAATTGTTACACCAATAATACTCATGCACACACATTTCAACTCCAGTCCTTCACAGTTCAAATTTCGAATCCCCTAAGCATAAGGATAGATACACACGGTGATGTCTCAAGAACAACCATTTTGACCAAAAATGGCCTAGTATTGACATGATCAGACATTCATCTTGATCAAGCTAGATATTTTGTTTATTCCAACTTACAAATTAATTCGGTTATTTATTTACTTACTGTGAAGAAGTGTCGTACACTAAGATACGCAACATCAGAAATTCGGATTGCTGCTTGTTGGGATATCAGCGATTATTTATTAAAAAATGCAGTGTCAAATTCTAAAATGGTGGATTTGATGCATTTCATTTTACATACGTACTTCAGGTTTTACTCTCGATTGTTTGATGAAGTTTCATTTTTTAAGTAGGAAGAATATTCAATTTCATGCGGCAGATCAGTTTTTCACAGTGACCCTAAATAGCGAGATTACAGTTAAGTCGATAGTTTTTCACAATGGAGGTTTTGATTTATCAATAAATGGTACATTACTGGTTAGAACTTACTACACACTTATTCATGGGGCTGTTACGAAGAATCCGGTCAATCCAATAATAGGGATTTAAACTACAATCTCCAACAACCAAACCATAAATTATATGGGTAGTCAAATTTTAGGAATTTCGTTGAAAAATGCAAAGACTTAAAAGTGCACATGCTATCATTATCAATCTGATCTGGTTTATACCGTCCTTTGGATTCTGAATGCTAGTCAAAATTCGTTATTTGTGTTAACGGATTTCAAGGGGCGAAGCATTCATTTAAAAAAGGAACTTTGGGTTGCATTTCACTAATGTAGGTAAATAATGGCGATAAGCAAGACTGGCCTAATTAAATACAAAATAACATTTTCATACCTTTCTCAATATAGAAGTCAGGTGCCCATGCAGGATCTTTGAAACTTTTTTTTTGTCCTTTGATTTGACTAATTTGAGATTCTTGTTCACTATCATAGCGGAATGCGCCAGGAGGCGGTATGGTTAAATGTTCATCAGGTTCATTGACAGTTTGGTGTTGCGGCTGCGTGTTTGGAGCAGCTTGATTGGCAATATTTAACTGACTCATCTATACACAAAAGACAGGCATCGCACAAAATACGGATAAGTGAGTAAGAAAATGTTATGGAGGCGAGGATGAGAATAAAAATATAAGAAACACCCCTACTCTAAAACTAGTCAGCAGTCACAATGCCTAGTTAAGATAAAAAGGTCCAAAATGAATTCAAAGAAGAATTAACCATATGCCTAATTAATCATAAGGAAAAGTTCAATCACGCGGTTTGACGTAATATACGACCAACCGTATAAACACGATATCTGCTACAGAATCAAAAAATTAGGAAGAGAACGATGATTATGGAAAATCCCACCGAGTTTGAATGTGACCGAAGACTGATGAAGAGCTAACAACGACCCAAATGTAGACCGAAGATTCTATGAACCGATCGTTAGGAGTGGGGCGTGAAAGCAAACGTTATGAAAAAGGTAGTAGAGATGGATACCTATTCCGACTTATCAAAGAAAGAAACATTCGAAAACTGTCTAATGATAGATCTATATGAAAAAAAACTAAATTTGATCTAATCGAAACCAAAGAAATTACGCCGATATTATCGAGCAGATACGAACAGCTCAACCAGCCTTCATTTACCCACTATTTCAATGTAGAACAGGGTGCTTACATACACCAGTTCAAGTTACCATGCCCCATAGACTTGGAAAACTGTTAGGCCAAATACCAGAGCAGTAGATGTAGTAAGAGTACAATGGATGTAAACAATATTAACCATAAAAAATATGATCCAAAAAAAATATAAAGCAGTGGAATAAGTTTTCTAAAACAGTCATAAAGAATTCAGAATCTTAGCATTTACGGGAAGACAAAGCATGGATACATCTGTGCTACTGCAAACGATTTTACTCATTAAAATTCTCTAACCACTGGTTACAATTGTCTCGCGACGCCCCAATTAAATAGTCTACACCTACTAACATAGATCAGTCCAGTTGTTAGTGACTTCATGGATTTCTGCCACGTTTTGGTTTGGCTACCCCTAGCTTTCTTCCAACCTACACCAAGCATCATCGCAAGCCGATCCTGAAGCAACATTTTGCATTTCGACGGCGAGAATCTCATCCCAAACATGCTTTCATTGTTGCTTAGGGTAGCAGGAGATACTGCGTCTTCACCATGTAGAACTATGTCATCGGCATATTCTGAGTCAACCAATGTCTGCTCCTAAAAATTCAGACGAAGGTAATGTTACATCTAGAAGCATATCTATGACAAAATCAAACAAGAATGAAGAGAGTAGACAGCCCTGACGGACATCATTTGAAGTAACTAATTCCGATGATAGTTCGGAATTAGCTCTAACTCGACCTGTAGTGTTTGAGTAGAGAGTACTTCTTTGATACACCTTTTAATGACAGACACTGCCACAGAACCTCACGATCCACAGAGTCAAATGCCGCTTTTAGGTCCAGGAATACAACTATTATCGGACGTCTAAATGTGTCTGTGTCCCAGGACCTGTTGTAGTATAAAAATGTGGTCTATACAACCACGTCCAGGTCTGAAACCAGACTGGTTTTCTCTGGTCTGCTACTCACGAGCTCTAGTTAGGCGTCTAAGTATAATCGAGGCTAACAATTTAGAAACTATATTAGTTAGACTTATTCCCCTGTGATTGTCACAAGAAGACTTTTGTCCTTTCTTATAAATCGGGACAATGAAGGATTGAGACCAGTCGGATGGGATTGTGTCCAGTTCCCAGATTCTACTTACGATCTCAGTCAATCTAGCTGCTAAAACTGGACCACCATCCTTAAAAATTTCAGGGGTCAATCTATCAGGACCCGCTTCTCTCCCTTGCTTGAGATTTCCTATCGCATTTTCAATTTCATAAAGAGTCGGAGGACTTACGTCGATTCGCCATTCAGGATGACTGGAGATCGTCGGCAACCGAAGTGTGGCCGAAGGCCAGTTGAAATATTCACTAAATTGTTGTGCCCATCGATCCAATCTCCTGGATTGAGAATGAGTAATAAAACCACCCTTTTCTGATATAGTATAGTATAGTAGATTCCTAATACCGGTTTTCTTGATGACTTTGAATAGTAGTCAACTGTTGCCTATCACCGTTGCCTTTTCCATCTACCTTGCTTTCGCTACCTACCACTGTTTTCGATCATTGCGTAGACATTTTATCAGCCTGCACCTAACCTGACTCCCCTCCTCATTGCATTCAGAGCCAGATGGGACAAGCTTTCGATCATCCATCAGTTCCATAGATGCTACTGAAATCCACGGCTTCTTCCTGACCTTCCGGTTTACCTTACTGGTGTTTCCACAGCTTTTTCGATATCATTCCAAGCTGCCTCAAGTTGGGCATCACTTACTACATGGTCGCCTAACTGTTTTTCTAGTTGTTTCTGAAATATATTCTTAGCTTTATTATCTTTAAGTAGAGCCCTAAGACCGCGAATTGTATAACATAGGTATCTTTGAACTATGGCTCGCGTACCATGAACCTAAAGTGGGAAAAATTGAAGTTAGTGATAGGACAAGTCTGTTTATGGTAATGTGGATTATTGTTGACTGATATGGTTAGGATATGTGTCACGTATCCTTAACCCTTGCCTGTCTCGATGCGTGATGTTTGTTGTTGCTATTATTTAACTCATGCGATGGTCTCATTACCACTAAACCGCCACTCGTAGTACGTTGAAGGATAACTACGGCAACCAGACAGAAACGTGCAGTAAGTTCATGAATTCATGAAATACTTATTTGAAGTGTGTTGGTAGGTGCTGTCTACCTAGTTGATGGTCTGTACAATAGTTATGATCAGTGACTGAAGACGAATGGCATGGCTGAGATGCATTCATTCTTTATCTTCCTGCAGATCATCGGTGTCAGTATTCTTCCATACATATCTTTACAATGTCGTTTCGAATCATATCGTCAATGTTTTCCTTACTCAACCTCACTGCTTTATTTTGACTCATATTATTCAAACTTAGAAGGTTGAGGATAGTAAATAAAGACCATATAAAATTTTAAAATAGCTAAGACAAATACATTAGGCAACAATTTAGGTAAAACAATCACTTATTGACAGGAGGTTTCAGAACGATCAAAAATCCTGATACAAAAGAGTTGTTAAGATGAGGATGTGTCTTTCAACAACGGAATGTATGCCGGTATAGCTCTTACTTAAAATGTACTATTCAATACACACATTTTCGTGTGATTTTTTATACTTTATAAAGTCATTGTTTGGTACACGTATGACGTATTTCTTTGTGCTAAGCACTAAATCGTAATTTGCACCGTAATAATTCCTGTATCAATACAGAATTTAAATTACCTTAGTTAGGTTTTCGTCTATTTCCAATGTTGATTGTTTTTGGTAAATTACTGAATCTCGAACATTCTGCTGATATTGTGGTAGTTGTTGTTGAATTGTTTGCTGTTGAGTTTTTAATTGCTGAGAGTGAACAATTTCTGGGGAATTATTTGCTGGTACTGAAGTTATCCGCTTATTCTGCTGTTGACTTTGAAGTAGATGCGCTTGACCGGTTATAACTACTTCATTTCTATCAGAGAGTAAATGACGCCCCTCACTATTGTTATGTGCTGATTGTGATGTCCCACTAACGACAGCGTGGGAGATTTGCGAAGCCATATACTGAGACTGAACAGTAGGCTACAGTTAAGAAAACAGGCAAGATAGTAAAACATTTATACATGTATCTGTGTTTTATGACACGAATTGTAAGGATCCATTGTTCAATTACTTCAAATATCAATTGTTGTATATTTAAGGCATCAAACTGAAGTTTACACTTGACTTAGCTATGCAAAAGGATGAGTTGCATCGATCATCTTCCTATCAGTATTAAAATATCCGTGAATCAAAAGATAAAATCAAAGAACAAATTGTCTTATACAATCCATTGTTCTGATGATCATTACACCAGTTTATAAAATAAAAGGTGGTGCTCTTTACCTTATTATATGTTACGTGTGACGGATGCATTATTTGTTCATTGTTAGAGGACTGAATACAGGGTTGACCAGGAGCATAATGACCATGATGATACTGAGCAGCATTTGAACCTGCACCGGAAGATCCACTTGATTTACGTGACCGGGGATTACCCATTGCTGAACACGAAATATCTGGGTTGACAGAACGGTTATTCACACAAGAAGCTGAACTTGGAGCATAATTTGATGATATACTACAAACAGAAGAATTGATTCCGCTAGGTACATGTTGCATTACTGTAGGTCCACATGCATTTACGAACTGTTGAGGTGGCAACATACCACCACGGCAAATAACGGTTGCCCTTCCCATTGTACCAACTATAAGAAAATAATAAATAGGAAGAAGCTGAAATGACACTTCTACAATACCAAAGAAAACTAAAGAACTCTAACTAAGATCCAAGAAACAATAATGAGCCTGTAACGCAAATTCAAGGTTAGTAGAATATTTCGGCGATCATGTTAGTCTAGTTTTAAAAGGTCACATTTAATGCTCATTATTGAAAGCGATTTCGCCTGAACTCTTCAAAGTCAAGGATGTTTCGTTGCGCTTCATGTTCAGATATCATCGTTTCAGAAGGATTGTTGATATCTACTGGAAACGCTATGTACGTACTGCTGAGGCTCGAAACTATGTTCGCGTCCAATGAGGACAAACTAATTGATGTCACTCTACTGAAACACCGGCTTCAGATGAGTAGAACGCACTGTGAATGCACAACTTATTAGTAAAGAATTAAACTACAATAATGTAATTTATCCAATCATCATAGATTCATTTCGTTTCGAGCTACAGTATGAGAGCTAGTGTTAATGATCTAGCTTAAACGACCCAGCTGTTATTGCTTAGTATTCGTCGAGATTGTACAGTGCTCAACTAGTCTCCAAAATCAGAACATGCCAAAATGAATGCGAAGGAATCATAACAATAGAAATTTCAATTTATTTATTTAAACATATAAGCATTGATAAAGTAAGACGCGGAGTGTGGACCCCCAAGGAATCCGCCCGCCTCGGTTTGAGCACCTAATTGGGACCCCAACCCGTTCACAAATTTAATGATTTCCGTTGTTCATATGTACTTCGCTACATCTTTCTACAAATAACTGTGTTTAAGAGAAGAATAAATAAAACTTAGTATCCGCCTGGTAGTCACAGTCTGTGATCCAAGGACTGGTGAAATAGCACAAAATCAGTTGCAGTGAAACTATTATATTCAGAACTTATCTTTCTCTAAATGTTGAGCTAATGTCAATTAATGCACTTATTTGTCTCCGTTTAATTACATTTCTTATATTGAACCCTAAAAAACAGTTGACTTTCTTTTCTTTTCTTTTATAAACTCCATAGTCTGTTGGTGTGATGTGACAACTAAGACTGATACTCATATTTTCCAGGTCCTACAGTCTATGGCTGATAAACTAGACACTGTATATGTAGTTTAAGAATATGATGAGCTTCTGTCGACTAATGATTCTATTATTTTAGATCACGTTAGTTAATTGAAGTGTGTCCAAACAGTTTATGTTCAGTTGTTGGGAATAATTTAAGGAATAGTGTTGTTAGATAACAAGCAAAAAATCCATTGACCAAGTATGTTTGGCAACCAGTAAGAACAATAGCATACCTTGTGGTCTCACATTATTAGTGGGTGCAGCATACTCTAGATAAGGTTTTGAATTTACTGTACGACACGCAACCGTACTGTGCTGCCGCCCAGGAAGTTGACTGTTAACTGAAGAACTACCATGCCGATTAAGTGTTGCAGCCTGGATGAATGGTTGTCCATAATAATTAGAAACCGGATCCTAAAATGTTCCAGTAAACAGATCATGTTAAGCAATGAGGAATGAAGTATGGTGTGCTAATGATTTCAAGGAATTTATTGATCATTTATAGGGAATTAATTAATACTAATGATTAAAGTTCCAACCAAGAATTAATGGTGAAAATAAGTATTTGCAATAGCGCCGGTGTATTCATTCTTTGTCTTCCCTCAAGACCTCATGAATTCAGGACCTTTTCTGATCACTTTTAAGATTTATTTAACTGGATTATACCTCGAAACCTAATCTTTTCCATTATCGACAATGCTTCTACTACCTTTACCACCATGTAATTTCAATTAAAAATTGCATATCTGAGCTACTGCGGTAAAGCAACGCACAAACTTCTACGTTGTAGCTGACTGTATAAACGTTTAAATTGACAATTTAGAAGAAAACCTAAAGATACAGAGACTACGCAGTTCAGCAAATTAGACAGAAGGTATGTTAACTTCAGTGAAATAAACGTTATCTTGAAAAAATATTCTTTAATTGTAAGCTACACAATTGAAATAATGAATCGATCAATGTTAGACCACCATCAGAAACCTAAAAGCACGGGACATCCATTTCGTCCTGGTATGGGACTCATTAGCAGAGCACATCCACGACTCCCGCACCTCGCAGGATCAGAACCCAGGACCTTCGGTCTTGCGCGCGAAAGCCTAACCTCTAGATCACTCAGCTGACATCTAACGGTGTTAATGTCTAACTTCCATCATTTCACTGTCAAGCACAACCTCACACACTGTCTTCGGCAGTTTGTGTTTACACTCGAACAGGTTGAACCTCACTGGTCACGACTTCTCACTAGAACTCGGAGAAGATTACTCACGGAGCCAATCAATAGTGAGCACGTGTAATTGCATTACGGGGTACTGAAGATTGTAAAGTTAAACACTTAACCGTAAGCGATGTATAATATAAGACAGTATTTATAGATTTACTATTCAGTCAGTCAGCTACAAGGTATAACGTACACACATCAGTCCAGATTGCCATACCACATCAGCTCAGAGACGCAATTGCCAGTTCAAATCCCATAGTGGTAGAGATGGTAGAAGTAATAGCAGTAATGGAGAAATTAGGGTTCGAAGACATTATTCAAGGAGTATAACTCAGTGAGACAAACTTAGAAACAGAAAGTAAGAGGTGATGAGTCATTCAGAAGATTCGAATTTGAGAGAAGACAAAGAATGGATGCATCTGCGCCATTGCAAACGATTTCGAGCCATGTCATTCAAAGTATCTTACCTTCGGTTGCTATTGTCTCGCGGACCCAAACTAGGTAGTCTGCACCTACGACATGGCTCAGTCCAGTTGTCAGTGACTTCATGTATTTGTGTAATGTTTTGGTTTGGTTGCCCCTAGGTTTCTTTCAACCTACTCCTAAACTGCGACACATAGCTCGACGAGGCAGTCAGTGTTTGGACATTCGTAACATGTCCCAACTACCTGGACTGGTGATCTTTCACTACTTCATCTATTGATCTCCCATCTTAACCTAGTACCCGCATCCTAACACCAGCATTGCTCATTCGGTTATCACAAGATATACGAGCAATGCTTCAGAGACACCTATGGTCGAAGATCGCCTACGCAAGTTGGCAAAAGCCATTCGAGCCTTCTATATCCGTGCTGAGATTTGGTCCGTCGTCAGCACTGATGAGACTACCGAGATAAGTGAGGCGGTCGACACGCTCAACTACTTCACTCCTTATCACTAGTTCAGGTGCTGACGCAAGCCAATCCTGAGGCAACATTTTGCATTCAGAAGGGAAGAATCGCCTCCCCAACATAACTGCGCTGTTGCTTAGGTTGGTCAGAAGACAGCATTTTGTCAGCATCTTCACCAAACAGGATTATGCCATCGGCATATTCCAAGTCAACAAGCGAGTCTCGTGGTAGGAGATCAATTCTTGAGAAGTCGGACGGTGGAAGTGTCGTATATAAAAGCATGTTGGTAACAAAGTTGAACAGGAATGAGCAAAGTGGACATCCCTGACGAACACCACTCGTGGTAATCAATCCAGACGAAATTTCGCTATAGGCTCTGACCCGACTAGTATTTCTTTGGTAAACTTTTCAATGACAGACACTGCCGTAGAACCTCACGACCAATAGAGTCAAATGCCGCCTTAAGGTCCAGGAATACAGTTATTGTCGGATGCCGAAATGTGTGTCTGTGTACCAGGACCTGATGAAGAGTGAATATTTGGTCCATACATCCACGTCCAGGACGGGAACCAGCCTATTTATCTCTTCATGAGCTTTGGTTAGGCATCGAAACATTATCGAGGCTAACATTTTAGACACAATATTAGTTAGACTGATCTACTGTGACTGTCACAAGAGGACTTTTGTCGTTTGTTATAGACATGGACAGTGACTGAGACTAGTTGGATGAGAGGATATCCAGTTCGCGAATTCTACCTAAGATCTCGGTCGATTTCACCGCTAAAACTAGACTACCCCTCCTTAAAAAATCTCAGGGGTTAGCTTATCAGGGTTTGCTGCTCTCCCTCACTTAAGATTTCCCATAGCCTTCACGCAGTCAGAGGAGTTACATCAGTTTGCCATCGACGTTAACTGAAGATCGTGGGTAACCGAAGTATAACTGAAAGACAATTGATCTGTTACCTATGGTGTTCTGCCCATCAATGCCATGCCTTGTGGATTGAAAATGAAAAAAAACCAGTCATTTTGGGAGAGTCTCACTGATAGTCGGATTCCTAATTCCGGTTTCCTTGATTAATCTGAACAGTTGTCTACGGTTGCTTTTCGCCGCTGCCTTTTCCATCTCCCCTACTTGTGCTACCCACCGCTGTTCGCGATCATTGCGTAAGGTTCTTATCAGCTAACATTTAAGCTGACTACGCTCCTCATCATGTTAACTGCTACACGGGGTGGGTTTTCGGGCGTCTTTCAGTTCAGTAGATCCTACTGAAACCCACTGCTTTTCTAACTATTAATTATCAAGCGCAAACAATCTCCGTAATTGGTCCATAAAATATGTGCTAAGCCTATACACAGTTATAGCGTTATCTTGAAAAGCAGAACTCGGTGGCTTGATCATTTTCACGGATTTCAACCCAGCAACTTTTACGTAGCACATTATCCACCAATGATGCAACTTGGTTCAAAAAGCGGGGGCGCTAGTTCATGACTTGGGATTGTGATATGAAAGGCAATTGGTTAGAACTGATATCTTTAAAGTAAGCAGGAATTCCTGGATGGCGTTCCAAGGACTGCAACTCAGTGACTCGAGGTGTTGTCAGACTAGTCAGTCGTGTGGATGACACTATATTTTACGAACGATACGACTGGATTTACAAAGCACGTTTTGGAGCAAAAACCATCTGTATATAGAAATAACAATTTGTGGTGACAGTTCGTAACGAACGCCTAAACTATAAAACCTAATCCTGACTTCTACCGCCTAGTTCTAGTCCTTTTACAGATAAATATGAAAGCATACCAAGTTTTTGTGTGCATTTATAAAACATATAACAAAAATTGATTACTTGGGTGGGAATTCCATGACCAACATTGTCCAAAATCGAAAAGTTGATTGGCTGTCTTATATACTTTTGTGGAGGTTCTGGAAGCACCGCCTCGTGCTGATAAACAACAGGTACCTTCGAAACTGTACACGACCCAACAGCCTTGCGTGCCACTTTTTCTAAGTATATATTGCACACCTAGCAAATTGATATAATAAAATGTGACTTACCATCTTTAGTTTGGAAATTTTATCTGATAAATCGGCGGTTTGATACGACTGGTAATCTAGTGCCTCAAGAAATTGACTTGCGAACCTATTAACTTCATGGGCTACTGCGCATACAGACTGTGTTGCCAACTCTAAGCTTTCATCAACAGTGTTGCTCTCCGGGTTAATCTATTAAGCGTTACGAACAGTGAGACAACTACCAAGTATTTTTCCGAACAAAATGCAGCAGCCTTTTCTATATTATTGCTTGTCTCGATAAGTTTGTTTCTGGCGTCTGCCAACCTACTTTCAATCATCCTATTGGCTAGGTGAATTCCAACAGTTGGTCTAGGTTAAGCGCTAACGAACCCATTCGAAAAGTCCCCCTTAACAATCCAATATCCAATACCTTCATATGCTAGTAAAAACCAGTTGATTCCCTTGCGCTTGCTTCTCATACTTTCGATACAGTTTCAGGTATTTGGTAATGTCCAATAGATGATAGTCTAGCTACTCCAATGCACTAATTCTAGTCCTTTGGAAGTTTTCATTAATTTGTATGTCCAGTGTTTTGAGTGAGTGCGTTTGTCTTAGGACGGTAGATTTTTTTAATACCAGCAGCTATCACATTATCAGGCTGCAAATCAGTTAGTTTCAGCGTGGAGAATAATAAAAAGAAAATTCTGATGCAAATGACAAGGTTTTAGAAGTAAATGACTCAATTAATTGACAGGTGGCGAAGATAGAGTGAAAAGATCGAGGTGTAAGCAAAAAAGATGAGACAGAGTTAATAGGCTTTTGATTTGATGAAATGAGATTGATAAAAAGTATAAAGTTTTGAGTCAGCTATCAGGCACAGCTGGTACAAGTAGGAGATGACATTCCATAGGGTAATACCTGCTTATCGAGTCCCCTATTGGATCTATCCGCTGAGAGGCTATAGCTACTTCCATTGAGAGAGCATTCCAAGTTCGGACAGCACCTAACAAGAAAGGCGTGCGCCAACCTGTGTGCTTACTTTGTGATGTGAGTTATGTCGGTAGTTATTTCGACGGGCGCATGAATGATGTTTTGGGAAGTTGCTCGCTTTAGGATGATTCGGACTCAATAGGTCTTTAGCATTTTCAGGGCAGTTTAGTGAGTTTCGAGTCTAAATTCGGAGGATTTATTTTCAGCTGTAGCATCCATACAGTTGCTTGCTACTTCACTGAGGCCAAGAAACTTCTTTTTTTAAGGCGATGAGGTGCGATGACGTCATCAACTTCATGGTGTGGCCATGAGTATGTATTAAAACTAGTTGAGAAAAACTATGTGGGTGATTGCACCAATTTGCCTTCCCATAAAATAAAGAGTTGTAAGCCTTGGCTGCATCCACTTTATAGTTTGCAGTTTAGTCCAGGATCTCTGTGGTTAGCAGAATGAGATCGCTCTCTGTGGAGACATTTGTGAGCAAAGTGCGATTGAGGAAATAGGTTTTTTATGTCACGAGAGGTAGAATGTTCCTGAGGGGAAATTTTAACTAAGTTGTTATCCGTTGTCTGGTGCCCATTCCTGCGTTGTTGTGAAGTTGTTTTTGGCTCAAATGAATACACTTCGCTTTCTCTGGACCTCCAAATCTTTGCTTAATTGCATGTACTTGTACTGATGAGATAATTTCACCTCACATTACACTAATAAATATTAGGAAAAGAAGCTAGCCTAAGAATGTCCACTGTGGAGCGTCTGTTGTTCAGATTCGCCAGCACGCATTTACTCTATTTACCGGCTGCTTCATGTTCTATAGATAGTTTCTCAGTTGATACAACTGAGAAACTCACGTATTTTCTAGAATTATTGGTTTAGTTCGGCTTTGAGTATAGCCAGACGGACTACTTATAAATGGATTTTCTACTAAAACAGTTCACTCCTCTCGAATAGGTGCAGGTTCATACGCGATCATCCAGTCAGGAACCAAAAACACGATAATTCTGGGAGAAAACGGTTGTATTATATTAATATGGAAATACAGACAATTACCAAAACAGTATTACACATTCGTGTTCACAATTACCACAATGGGTATCCGTTTCTGGAAGAGTAAGTGCTTCCAGTTCGTTACTGCTAAGATATCAGATCCAAATATGGTTGTAGCCATATTCAATATCAAATTTAAACAACATATGTACAGTTCAGAAGGAAACATAAAAACTTCAATATAAGTACAAGATATGGAAATAATGACAATATACAATGATAAATCTGAAAATGGAATCAAATAGAGTACCAAAATGTCAACAAAAAGAGCCAGTCATATCATAACACACGATGAGCTTCTTAATGACCGTGAAGCAATGCAAGATAGAACCAGGTCTGCATATAACAAGAGCTGATGAGGTAAATTTGACAAGAACCGGTTGATAAATTAACAGGTCCTTGGGTAAGGTAACCAAGTCTTCGGCAATTATCCAGACTAATACATAAGTATTGGAATAAGGTGCTGAAAAAAGAGAAACAAAGAGAACAGGGCGAGGAGCAGAATAGAAAATATTCTTGTTCAAGGACGAACAATGACTCAGGACACACGTTTCTGGATAAAACTAAGGTATGATTACTCAAAACATTTATCGCACAGACGGAGTGTTTAAGTAAAACTAACACATCAACGAGAGTTTTCACAACTAACTGTAAGCAATTTTAGCCCACTTCTGTTCTCTTTAATAATATTATTTCCTCATATAAAACCATCAGTTCTTTCATATGGAACTGTAACCTATGCAAGGCGTTGATGCTCATTTTCGATCACGTTATGAAGGTTTGGTATCACGTTATTCAGGATCGGAATGAGCCTAGGAAACTTATATATCTGCGGAAAAATGATTTAGCTGTTATAATACCATCAGTTTTCTTCGAACTCCACAACGGTAATTTACAAATAACACACCAACACTTGTTGGAAGAAGATAAATTGTAGAGAATATGATATTTGTGGTAGCAAAAGCAGTAAAAACGAGTCGGTACATTTCTGTATCCACTGTAATAAGCTGTGACTTTCAAGCACATAGAAAATTGGTGGAGTAAGAGCAGTCACGACCAATCAGAACGAAGCGAAAATCATAGAGGAAATCGAATCTAAACAGTTCCGTAATTGTGTGGTGGCTAATTTCAACGTGTTCCTAATCTTCCTAATTAGCTCGCCTAGGTAACCGTCACCAAATAGAGCCATACCAACTTACTTACTTGTGCCTATTACCTCCAATGTAGCGTAGGCCGCCCACCAGTTTTCTTCAACCAACTCTGTCCTAGGCTTCTATTTCCAGTCCTGACGAATTTTTGTTCATCCCCCTATTATCTTTCTCCATTTCTCTACGTGATGTGTTCCTTAGCCTTCCTCTTTTTCTTCTGCGCTGAGGGTCCCAAGTGAGAGCTTGTCTTGTGACACAGTTAGGCGCTTTTCGTAGTGTGCGCCCTATCCACTTCCACCACTTCTTCCTCATTTCCTTCTCGACTGGAATCTTGTTTATTCTGTCCCACAGAAGGTTGTTTCTTGTCGTGTCTGGTCAACGAATCCGAAGTATTTTGCGTAGACAACTGTTAATAAACCATTGTATCTTCTGTATGATGGATTTCGTAGTTCTCCAGGTTTCCGCTCCATACAATATAACGGTCTTCAATTTTTGCAAGTGTACCGACAGACATCCAATCCTTGTGATGGTACTGCTTGTAACCCAGAACTATGTGACATGTTGAATTGATTGTTTCCTTGATCCCTTACCAAATAATCTCCAATGTTTATTCCTCTCCATTGAGAAGGCCTGGAACCTACTGCTGAGGGCTGTCTTCAGTTCCTTGAGTTTTACGGTATCCCGAAGAAGGCTATATTAAACTTGTGTGATGTTGTCCGCCTAGTCGTCCAGTGTTTCTTGAGTTTCAGTTTCATTTTAGCGACCAGCAAGTAGTAATCTGAGGCTATATCAACTCCTCACTTAGTCCTCACATCCTCCATGGTCCTTCTGAACGTTTTGTTGATACAGATATGGTCGATTTGGTTTTGAGTAATGTGATCGGGTGAAATCCATGTAGCTTTGTGTATGCGTTTGTGCGGGAATATTGTTCCGCCGATGAACAGTTTGTTTACGGCACATTAGTCTGCAAATCTCTCACCGTTTTCGTTCCTTTCTCCCAGTCCATGTCGTCCCATGATGTCTTCATATCCAGTGTTGTCCAAGCCAACTTGGCATTCAGGTCTCCCATAAGAATCGTCAAATCCTTTGATGAGCATCTGTCGACGATTGACTACAGCCTTTCGTAGAATTGATCTTTAACGTCGTCATTGTAGTGATTGGTAGGTGCATAACATTGGATGACGTTCATTGTAATGTCCTGTTTCTTTGTTTTGAAGGATGCTTTAATGATCTTGGATCTATGAGATTCCCATGCTATCAGTGCCTTTTGTGCATGTTTGGACAGCATCAGTGCAACTCCTTGTGTATGTGAAGCGTTTTCCTCTTCATGACCACAGTTTAACAGCAGTTCCCCTGAAGCTAGTCTCAGTTGTCCTACCTCTGTCCGATGCGTTTCGCTGATTCCAAGCACCTCTAGGTTGTATCTTTTCATTTCTACAGCAACTTGAAACAGTCTTCCAGTCTCTCACAATGTGCGAACGTGCCATCTTCCTGAATGAATGGTTGCTGTGGTTATGAGAAGAGTCATCAGCACTATGACTTCCGAGGGAACTCGGCTTTCATCACGTGACGTCATGATTCTTCTTGCAACTCCCAAGGCAGTGTTAAAATTGTTTGAATTACTTATTCTGGTTAGCGTTTTTTGGTAAGTTAGTTTTTAGGTAATGTTGGGTCGCCGACCCCATGCCCAAACCCATCCTCCTTTATCCGGGCTTGGGACCGGAAGTAGCCACAAAGGGTTTAGAGATGGAGTTAAATAGCGCCTGACGGTTATAAATCAGAAGGCTAATACGAAGAGTCTATTTCGTTTATTTTTAACACACCCCAAAATGGGACAACGGACCACAAGCCGACAGGTCAGGCGCACTGGCTGGCGAGTGTGCGAATGGATGTGTGAATTAATAGGGTTAAAATGTTCATATATATACATAGTAAAATGTGAGTCATAGTGATATTTAAGAGATTATCAATAAAGCGAATTGGATGAGTAAGGGCGTGGGCGTAAGCAGTGCTCACTCGTTCAAGCCCGAACAAACCGGATGATAAAAAATACCAATGGTACATATAAGCTCCTGCTGTACAAATAGCTAGGTAATTAAGTTAACCGAAATTAAATAGAATGAACTTAAATTTATGTGGAGGCAGTACAAGTGATCATCGTTTCCTAAACGACTACGTTATTGGTAATAAAACTCCATTATTATGATCACCTTAGCAGAATGACTACTAATTCATTTCTAATAAATATTCCAAAAACGTTTTCTCACAAAAATGGAGGGACGTATAGTATAGATGAAAAATGGCTACCCTTGAAACAAGAACATCCACTGCACATAATGAAACAATATGTTAACAAGACGTCAGTGATATATTTTTGGCTGACAATGATGAAACGTGAGTCAATATTCTGGGGCTCCACAATGGTAACAGAACAAGACAAGGTTCGTGGTCCTAACAACGCCCGATCTCCACTTAAACATTTGCCACACGATAGTCACCATAGCGCTGATGAGGCAGTTTTCCACCATTAAACCAGTCCAGAAATCAAGTAAATTGACAAGTTATAGTAGTTGTACTGAACGTAACTTATGAGCTAGCAATTCTCGAATCTATCTAATGCATGCTCTAGCAGTCACAAATGGATAAACACTCAATTTGGAAGAAACCAGCATATAAATCTGATGGTATTATATGATTATTCAAGTAAAGCGGTTAGGGATTCACAATTCAAACATGATTATAATGATATATATTTATATTTGTAATGATAATATATATATATATATATATATAGAGAGAGAGAGAGAGAGAGTACACAGCTCAGCAAATTAGACAGAAGGTATGTTAACTTCAGTGAAATAAACGTTATTATCTTGAAAAAATATTCTTTAATTGTAAGCTACACAATTGAAATAATGAATCGATCAATGTTAGACCACCATCAGAAACCTAAAAGCACGGGACATCCATTTCGTCCTGGTATGGGACTCATTAGCAGAGCACATCCACGATTCCCGCACCACGCAGGATCAGAACCCAGGACCTTCGGTCTTGCGCGCGAAAGCCTAACTCTAGATCACTCAGCTGACATCTAACGGTGTTAATGTCTAACTTCCATCAATTCACTGTCAGGCACAACCTCACACACTGTCTTCGGCAGTTTGTGTTTACACTCGAACAGGTTGAACCTCACTGGTCACGACTTCTCACTAGAACTCGGAGAAGATTACTCACGGAGCCAATCAATAGTGAGCACGTGTAATTGCATTACGGGGTACTGAAGATTGTAAAGTTAAACACTTAACCGTAAGCGATGTATAATATAAGACAGTATTTATAGATTTACTATTCAGTCAGTCAGCTACAAGGTATAACGTACACACATCAGTCCAGATTGCCATACCACATCAGCTCAGAGACGCAATTGCCAGTTCAAATCCCATAGTGGTAGAGATGGTAGAAGTAATAGCAGTAATGGAGAAATTAGGGTTCGAAGACATTAGAAGGGATCGTATTTTACTAGAAAATGTAGTTTGAGATTCAGTAAAGTGTCAGAAAGGATAGGATATATTATTTAGTTCGTCGAGTCCTACTGACACTACACGAATACTCACCAGACAGTTAGGCATTCGGATTACTTTAATAAAACTCTCATAATTAGTTGACTCTTTAACAGATGTATTACTTATTAGTGTTTATGTGATGCTAATGCTCGTTAAAGTACCGTTTTGTTCGAATGTAATGTAATTGCTCAGTTAATTTTGTCGATCAGATTGTTTTCTAACTTGCGATACTAAAC